AAAAAAAAAAAAAAAAAAAAAAAAAAAGAAGAGGAGACAGCCTAAAGGATAATGGGTCCCTAAAACTAATTCGGAGTGCAAAAAGAAAGGGCCTACTACCTAAATTCATGAGATTTATTATGCCAACTATCATATATTCTGCATCTCTATCAACTAAGCATACAAATATAGATGCCAAATTCAAATCAGACCTGGTAAAAAATTCTGATAAATTTTATTAGATTTTGTCATGGAAAGACTTAAATCAGATTTTTTAATAAATTAAGGGTAAAATCAAGAATTTTAAAAGATATAAGGACTGAATTGTGAATTACCTACAAAGGGAGCATTTGATAGATTTGGCCTACAAATATTAAAAGAGATACTCCACAAATGGCCACAAACACACTAATCTTCCACTTGGAACCTCTTCACATGAACATATTCCATTATGAAGAAGTTTACTTGTGCCCAAATCCATAAGACTTCAAACTTGCAAAGCAGCCTATATCACAGCCCTGTTTTTCTTGGTGCCTTATGAAATGAAAATATTCTTATATCACAATCATCTATCAGAATCACCATTGCAAAAGAGATTGTCTAAATTCTGATCTCACTTCTACATGAAATGCACAAAGAAGGAAATACCATAATGACACCCTTTTCCTTTGCAGATCACAGTAATCCTATTTTACAGATGGTCTACTTCATCGCTTATTTTACTTTTTGTTTAAAAAACTATCACAAATGCACCCCTTATTCTTGTCTTTAACTAATTTACCCCATTAAACATAGCAAATATTACAACTGGATCTTAAAAAATGGAAGACAGAAGAGAGGCTATCCAAAACAACACCATCCACCAAAAAAAATTCTAAAAGGGCTAGTTACCTTGGTCCAAGAACTATATACACGCCAAATTCCACACCTCTCAGTCTATCGACAGTCTAATGTTACACTTTAAATCTATTGATAGTCTTAACAGTATGGTTCTTCTAATGATTATCTATTAGCTCTAGTGAGAATTTAGGGCATTACTCAAACATAGATAGATCGGGAGAAAGTGCAATGCACACAATAATCATGCACAGAAGATATTTGCTCATCAGAAATGAAGAAATAATCATTTACCCATGAGAAGAAATAAAAGACCAAATTGTTGAGAACTTGTACATCCTTTATTGGGTTAAATTTTGTGTCCAGTTAAGAAAAACCTATTTCAGATACAAGATCTCTATATCTGAAAGCAAAACATATAGAATATGATGGTAACTAGTCCAAAACCCTCAAATGCCAACATACTTGAAATGAAACTACTAGAAAAGTTCAAGATTTAGCAGAGAGAGGAGAGAGAAACTGTTTTTTTTTTTTGGTGAGAAAACGAACATATGTTATAAAACAATGAAATAACATATAAAGGCATATAAAAAATCAGTCACATAAAACGAGTCCAAACCCTAATTACAAAAGTAGACTTCAATCTCTAAAAACAGTCTTTTTTCTTTTTGCCTTCTGTCTCGAGTCCCAATAGACCCTTTCAGATTTTGTGATAATTTTCTTTTGTTTGAATGTCACTCAAAATGTCTATTACTTTGAATAATTTCATATCCATGTCATAATTGAATTAGGAGTTGAAAACAGTCACAATTGAATTCTATGCCATGTTTGAATTAGTAAACGAAGTCACTCACTTGACCATTCTTCCTCCAGCCCAAATTAAATAGTCAGTCAAGTAGATTATAATCATCTTACTTAGCACATTGCATTTATTTTTATAATTCATTGACGCTTTTTAACTACAAAAAAGGGGGAAATAATAGATAAGAAAAAAAATGTATACCAGGAGGAGGAACTGAGGTGACTGTATTGCATAATGCACAGCATACATTAGTAGCCCCTCCAGGATAAAGAAGAATGCTCCTACACCCACTGCATACAAGTTGGCTCTGCATAGCTGCTACATTAAGGGAGAAAATCAAGAGCTTACTAAGAGTGGACTAGTTAACCAAGAACAGCATATGCTAAATGCAAGAATGAAGTAAATAAAAATAAATAAACTAACATCCCTCCATGTACATGAATTTCATATAAAGCAGAAGTTTTCCTTAACTAGAATCAATATTAAACAATAATCTATATAAGTCCATTGATCAAGCATGGATATAAATTCCATCAGAAAAATACTCCCTCTTTCTGCCATAAATTGATCGATGTGGTACACAGAAATTAAGCTTCAAAACTAAAGTAGACCTAATTATTGAAAATTTTAACCAGGAAACAGAGGGATAAAAGTAGATCAACCACACAAATAAATTTTGAGAACAAAAACGGATCTAAAAGAGTTGCGGGGACAATTAAGGTTCTCTTTGCTTATTTGTTACCGGAAAATTTTCGTTACTCATTTCCTTTTTCAACAATAGTTAAGAAGCTCTTCTCGTCCTCAGCCCTCTTTGTACAGCCTATTCGATCAATACTAAAATCTCTTATTGTGGGAAAAATCTACGCAAACTACTTCATTGTTGTATGTATGTACATAAGATTGCAAAATTAAAGAACAGCGTGTAATTGGGATAGATGCACCATAAAAGAATGAATGCCCGGGCAAAGGACATCTCAAAACTAAAAAGTACCAGTCAATCCAATGAAAATTCCTTAGGGCAGCATAAAAGTCTACAAGCCCAAGTCTCCGGAAAAAAAAAAAAACAGCAAAAATCCAAATCAAGAAAAAATCACCTTGTCCCGATCCTCCTCGCGCGAACACTGATTATCTACAGAAACGATCACGTCGCAGCCCCAAGAAGGAAAGCTGTCAGTCATTCGAAATCACCAACAATTTCATTAAAAAAAAGAAACAAAAAAGTACAGAAGATAACTCAAGATACAAAAATTACAATTAGAGATAGAAAGGGAGGGAGGGAGGGGACCTGAAAATGGAGGAGGAGAGGATGAATTAAGGGTTGATTATGAAGAAGATGATCGCAGAGGTGTAGCTATGGAGGAGGAGGAGGAGGAGGAGGAGGCAGGCTTAAGCGGATGAGGATGGAAGCGAGAACTGCGGTTGAAAATTGAATTGCAAGGGGGTGGGATAGAAAAGGAAGACGGTAAATTTGAGAAACGAAGTATAATTTTTTTTTAAGAAAAACAAATAAAAAAGTGATAAGAAATTGGAAATGAAGAAGAATGAGCAATTTTGGAGATTTTCACAATTTTTAATAAAGGAGCGCGTGGAATGTGTCAAAATAGTAAATTCATCTGTGAATAAAAATATTTCTTTAACTACTTGGACTTTGATTAATCTTCTATCCATTCTCGATTATAATTTTTTTTTTATTCCCATCAAGAGGGATATTCTCGTAATTTCCTAATTTAACGAATATTGAATGGCAGGTTAAAATTGTAAAAAAAAAAAACTAAATATTCTTTTGTTCAATTATTTCATATTGTTTTAAATTATAGAAACTGTTTTCTATTTTTGAAAAAAAGGAAATTGTTTTTTAATTAGACAGAATCCTAATCATTGGATTTCAGCTAGCTTTTGAGGCCATATATCCCATTACTAAGAATACACAAATGAAAATTTCATCTTATATAAGAAAATATAATAGTAATTTTGATAAAAGCCTTCTTGTCCGCTGATGTACTTTATATTATTATTATAATTCATATTTTATGACTTTTTTCATTATAAAATAATTTATATTACAATTCTCGTGGAGTTTAACTTCAAAATTCTTACACATAATTTAAATTTCAGATCTCGACCCCACATTTGGCATAATAATAAAAATGGAAGGAAAAAGTCAACCAAATCTGACTCGACACAACAACTGGGTTAGTTTTTTTTTTTTTTTTTTTTTTTTTC